GCCTTTTAACAAAATATGTAAAAAGAAAAAAAAGAAATACATTTTTGATATTAATAATGTATTACTATGCGATAAGTCAAGATTATTTTTTGTGTAGTCTTCTGCCCTCTGTTATCAGGTATATCTGATTGTGTACAATAGGATTTTTAGCAAAGTTTTTACCATTAAATTATGCAAAAGGTGTCAGACGCAAAACATTTTAGAGACCGTATGTATCAAATATGATACATTTGGCATTATAGCCTTAAAATGTATTTCTTTTTTTGGTTCTGTGTCATGTAAAAGGAAGTAACTTTGGGTTGTTTTTTTGTTTTCCTCTTGGCAAATCAGAACACATTATTCAGTATAGTGTTTCTCTGGAACACTTCACCCTATTCAGCGTCATTTACTATGTCAGACACTCCAGACGACAGGTGGAGGCATCAGCAATCGCCTTGATAGAAGACCACCTGATATACAGAACACAGTTTGTGAAATTAAAGGGTCAGCTGTCTATTCAAGTAGTCGGCAGCACAGGAGCACCACAGGGAATGGTACTCTGCCCGTTCCTTTTTACTCTAAACCTCTAACTTCCAGTATTGGGCAATAGACAGAGACCTGTCTTCTGTCTAGGTTCACCAGAGATGGGCAATAAGCTGAGTACAGGGAGCTGGGGGGGCGCTTTGTTGCATGCTTTGGAAACAACCCTTGGATCTTAAGTGTGTATAAAACAAGGAAGATGATGCAATGGGTCAAACCTTATTACCCCATAGCAGCATCGGAGCAAATAACTTAAAGAAACTTAGCAAGCTGACAAAGAAGGCCGACTGTTCTGGGAACTCCTTTAGAAGATGATATTGCAAAGAAGAATTCTTTTTAAAAGGAAGAACATTATGGAGAATCAAGAGCATCCTCTTCATCAGACTGTCAGACAACAACAAGGTGTCTTCAGTCAGTGGCTCCAGATCAGCTGTAAGACAGACCTCTACAGTGGATCCCTCCTGCCCACACAGCTATTATCTCAATTAAAAAACTACTTAAAGAAACATATTACAGTTACATTGATATTCAGAATTGACAAAACAATTTTTGATTGAATTGGATTATTTCGTAAACTCAGTCACTGACAAGTAGATGTTCGAATTTTGTCACTTGTTTGTGTTATGAATTGTAAAATATGAAATACAAACGTTTGAGGTGAGTTATTAAATACATTAAATATTGCAATTTTCTGGCTACACCCCATTATAGAAGAAGGCTGATATACAGGTGCTGGTCATAAAATTAGAATATCATGAAAAAGTAGATTGATTTCAGTAATTCCATTTAAAAAGTGAAACTTGTATATTATATTCATACATTACATACAAACTCATATTTTTCAGAGGTTTATTTTGTTTAATTTTGATGATTACAAATGACAACAAATGAAAATCTCAAATTCATCATATCAGAAAATTAGAATATTACTGAAGACCAATAAAAACATAGGATTTATAGAAATGTTGGCCAACTGAAAAGTATGAACATGAAAAGTATGAGCATGTACAGCACTCAGTATTTAGTTGGGCCTCCTTTGGCCTGTATTACTGCAGCAATGCGGCGTGGCATGGAGTCGATCAGTCTGTGGCACTGCTCAGGTGTTATGATAGCCCAGGTTGCTCTAATAGTGGCTTTTAGCTCTTCTGAATTGTTGGGTCTGGTGTATTGCATCTTCTTCTTCACAATACCCCATAGATTTTCTATGGGGTTAAGGTCAGGAGAGTTTGCTGGCCAATTAAGAACAGGGATACCATGGTCCTTCAACCAGGTACTGGTAGCTTTGGCACTGTGTGCAGGTGCCAAGTCCTGTTGGAAAATGAAATCTGCATCTCCAAAAAGTTGGTCAGCTGCAGGAAGCATGAAGTGCTCTAAAACTTCCTGGTATGTGGCTGCGTTGACCCTGGACCTCAGAAAACACAATGGACCAACACCAGCAGATGACATGGCACCCCAAACCATCACTGACTGTGGAAACTTTACACTGGACTTCAAGCAACGTGGATGAAGTGCCTCTCTTCTTTTCCTCCAGACTCTGGGACCTTGATTTCCAAAGGAAATGCAAAATTTACTTTCATCAGAGAACATGACTTTGGACCACTCACCAGCAGTCCAGTCCTGTTTCTCTTTAGCCCAGGCAAGACGCTTCTGACGCTGTCTGTGGTTCAAGAGTGGCTTGACACAAGGAATGCGACAGCAGAAACCCATGTCTTTCATACGTCTGTGTGTGGTGGTTCTTGAAGCACTCACTCCAGCTGCAGTCCACTCTTTGTGAATCTCCCCCACATTTTTGAATGGGTTTTGTTTCACAATCCTCTCCAGGGTGCGGTTATCTCTCTTGCTTGTACACTTTTTTCGACCACATCTTTTCCTTCCCTTCGCCTCTCTATTAATGTGCTTGGACACTGAGCTCTGTGAACAGCCAGCCTCTTTAGCGATGACCTTTTGTGTCTTGTCCTCCTTGTGCAAGGTGTCGATGGTCGTCTTTTGGACAACTGTCAAGTCAACAGTCTTCCCCATGATTGTGTAGCCTATAGAACTAGACTGAAAGACCATTTAAAGGCTTTTGCAGGTGGTTTGAGTTAATTAGCTGATTAGAGTGTGGCACCAGGGGCCATCAATTTCGAACCTTTTCACAATATTCTAATTTTCTGATATGATGAATTTGAGATTTTCATTTGTTGTCATTTGTAATCATCAAAATTAAACAAAATAAACATCTGAAATATATGAGTTTGTATGTAATGTATGAATATAATATACAAGTTTCACTTTTTAAATGGAATTACTGAAATCAATCTACTTTTTCATGATATTCTAATTTTATGACCAGCACCTGTATTTACATGTTATTGAATCGTTTGCCTCTTTAGTCAGAAAGGATGCTGGATCACATCTGAACAGCAGAGGGCATCATTTCACTTCTCATGTCCTCTAAATCCTCCCATTGTTAAATCAGAACCAAAAAGAGAAATCAAACTATTTAAGAGATTTAAAATATACTTGAAAATATAGCTTTGTAAACTGAAAACCGAACTAAACTTTCTCTAAAGGGCAAAGGTTTGAGTTGGCCCTTCTAGGCACCGTTAGTCTTTATTTTTATTTTATTATCTTTTCAATTAATTGAACTTTGTTGATCTGACATTAGAGAAATGTACCTCTGCATTTAACCCATCCATTAGGGGAGCAGTGGGCTGCCATTGTGGGGCACCCAGGGAGCAATCGGTGGTTAAAGGTTTTGCTTAGAGACCCAGAGTGGCAGTCTGTGGGAGTGGGTTTCAAACTCACAACCTCAGGATTCCAAGCTGTATGCCCTAACCACTAGGCCACTAATTGTTTACTTTTTTTGGACACATCACGAGAAAAAAAACACTAATTGTTCAAGACATATAAGGTTTAGTGTTTGCTTTAGAGAGAGAAAGGATTTACACCTCCTACTGCTTTTTATTCCACATGCTTCAACAACAATTGCTGCTCATTTCATGAAGAGATGACCGAGGCATCCTTATGAGCTGCAGATACCAGATCCATTTAAGGATGCAGCCACTGAATATGGATTAAGGAATAGAAAGGAAGCCAAAAAATTAACAAACTAGGATAAAAGCTCTGAAAGTTGACAATTCACTCGATCTAATTTTCATTGGGTTATCTGCCTGTTTGCCATTGTTACAGATCTTTTTTTTATTTCTTTGCCCCAGCCTGCCTTAAATGTTTTAAAGGCATTTAGCTGCTGATGAAACAGGATTATAAGTCTGGAAAACAGGGTGGAGGAAATTTAAACGTCTGCTAAACTGCCCTTTCTCCCACTCATAGGTCCCCTCCCTTAATAATACTTGTTTTCTTTTTTATATAAAGTGAGAAACAGTTTCCAAAATGTGTCATTAGTTAAATTAAATTTATTTTATAAGTAAAAACAAGCTGTATTTCCATGGTCCCACTGCACATCATACAAAACTTTACCAAAACACATCCACTGCAGGTCAGTGTAAGTCTTTTACTTCCATATATAAGAATGAAGAGCCCTGGCAAAGATGAGAAACTCTTAAAAAACGAACACTGAATTGCAGAAACAAAGATTTGCATCAAGAACTGGCTAAAAGAAATAAGAATATTTTTTTATATATTCATCAATCTGGAGTGTTAATTGCAGAGAGGTCTGCCATAAACAATAAATCTATTCATCACATTTATATTTGAAGGCTTCTTTGTTTTCTTTATGTTTCCCTCAATAAAAGAAAATCTGGATTACAAAAAGCTCTACTTTGGTTCATTGGTTTCCCATCTCATATCGATGTGGTAACTTTTGGTTGTCGAAACATCTGGTTGTATAGACTTGTTTCAAATGTTTAAGGGATACCCAAAGACTAGCAATGGCCAATTAAGCCAAACCTGTGTTTAGCAGTGCTTTCCACCAAACCTGTGGAGAGTTGGGATACGTGGGTTATTGGATTCACACTGGAGGGAACCGATTCATGACCCTGAAACCGAACTGGGAACCATAACTGATGCACAGTTACAACTGCTGGTCTCAGTTCACTTGCAGTGTGATTGCACCAAAAACAGGAAGAGAGAATGAGATGTAAGATCAGCAGATGTAGTTAAAGGTATACTGTAGTGGAGGATGTTCTTTTTCCAGGTGGATCATCTAAATAGGTAGTCCTCCTCATTGTTAATCATTCTGGTGATGTGTTTACGTACGGCCGTCCTACGTGCTCTTCCCCATTTCCACTTACCAGTCTGACAGTGGAAATATAAAAAAAATCTTCTTTTGGAGAGTAAGCTTGAATGGGCGATGCAAATGGCAACTTTGAAACAGAGCGTGCACGAGGGGAAATGGGCTCGTGCACGCTCTTGCAAGGGTTTAATAGGTGTTCTCTCTTGGGAGCGGGTACAGGGTTGTCCATGTGCATTCGCATTCTTTTTTAAGCTTTTTGCTTAAAAAAGTTTTGCTGCATTGTAGGTTTTTGAAAGCTGAAACCTCAGTCCACAGTCCATCTCCGTTTTTTCTTTCTTAACATAGATGGCTTCCTTCACGGCCCTCTCAAACCACCTATTTTCTTTGTCCAAAATGTGAACATTCTGGTGCTCAAAAGAATGTCCTCTGTCCATAAGATGTACCACAGCGTCTTGTCCCAAGGGGGTCCCTCCTCTGTGTTGGGCCACGCATCTGTGGAGAGGTTGTTTGGTTTCTCCAACATAAAGATACATACACCACTCCTCTCATATTTGGTGTGGGGGTTTATCCTAGGATGCTCTAGTCTCTGTTTAAGGGTCTTGCTTGGTTTGGCTTGTCTGTGTAAAATCAAAACATGACAAATGAAGGAATGATGTTTCCTTCTTTAATTGCTCCCTGGACCAAACCAGCAGTATGAATATAGCCTTATTCTTCCTTACAATGGGAATGATGTGTTCTCACATATTTGGATTTAGATTTGAATTGTAGGAAAACTAACCGTTTTCACAACATGTAAACCCAAGGGAAACAGAAAGTGTTGATTTACTAATAAAACATTTTTTGATCAAATTATGGGAGCCAATAAAGGAAAAGCTCTGATTTTGTTGTCTTACAGGTTACAAGATTTTTTTTTTCAACATAGGGAACATTGTATTGATGAATGCACTCAAATAAAGCTGGATTTTTTTTTTTTAGCATTTGTCTATGTGAACTACTGCTGGTCCAAAAACAATAATAAATGTATTCTTTTAAGTCTTTACACATATTTTTTAATATGGTGAGGTGTACAGTATATTACTTATGATGATTTACATCATCACAGTGGTTTTAGTTTGTTATTTTGCAGACCTTAAATTAAATAATAAAGAGGAAAAACGTTGGTAAAAAGTGATTATATCCCTAAGATTCTGTCCTGCAGTGGTTTATCCTTCCTCCATGTTGTGAACAAGTTTTTAATGAAGATCTCTGACCATCTTGTCCCTTTTGCTTAAATCTGATTGTCATCATTAAGCAGCTTGTGTTAAACAAACACAGCTTAATCCCAACTACCTACTCTTTTTCCCCTCTGTGGCAGTCTGAGGAGTCACTGTGGGTTTAATAAAGTCTTTAGTGATGACCTCATTCTGACCTAGCCTCCTGATGCAGCGCTGGACCACTCTTAGGACCTTCTGTAACCTACGGTCCAGCGCTAAGAAGTGGGGCTCGGTCAGGACCGGCCTCAAAACGTCCAACTCTAGGGACTCTCTCATCACATCGCTTAGCCTGAACTCCGATCGGGCCAAGAGCTGGAGTCTCAGCAATGTAGATTGCTTTATCCTGGAAATAAAAACAAAAACATGTCTGGAAAATCAAAGCCAACAAGAATGTGTTCATTATATGCTAAATCTACAAACTTACATGCAGCACTGAGACAATGGAGCCAGGATGGACATCTCATCATGGGAATGCTTCCCAAACCTGGACACAAAACATGGTACCAAATGAAAGATGTGGAACCGCGCAGCATCATTCAACATGAATATCAGAGCCAGCAGGCAGGAGGGAGATGCTTAGTGGAGCCCCAATAAGTTCTTAACTTTATATTTACAATATGGAGCTTAAAAAATACATTTATCAAGAATGTGTCTCCTTCCAGATTATTATCTACATGCTAAGAGCTTTAAGGTAGAAAAAATCTGTATAGGAATCTAAAAAAACTGACAAATATACAAGGCAGTTGTGGTTTGTGTATGAATAGTGCAATTGGAGAACCCTTACTTTCCCACCCTTTATGTACATGTAGGAATCTATCTTTATTTGCAATTTAGTCTCAGTTTGAACTGTCTAAACATTCTGCTTTCGGGTTTATCAATCTTAAAAGGGTCCTAGCGAAAAAAACAAAACAATCTTTTTTTTGTGTTCACAGTTTCTGTGTCAGTGTGTACATGCCAGTCACATCTTTCTTTTTTTTTTACCATGATGTAGAAGCTCAGCACACTTCTCTAATCTCTAGTTACGAGCATGTTGCGAGTGCTGACTGTAAGGACATGATGCGGTCTGCTCATGTGCTCTTTGTTATCTGAGAAACATGCCTGAGCTGAACTGCGCTGAGCCCTACTGACGAACTACCAGTTTAATTTAACTTTAACTTCCACCTCCTGGCTGTTGAAGAAAAATCCAGAGAAAAGTATTAACTTTGCATGTTTCAAAGCATGGGAAAAAGTTGTGGCTTATACTGTAATTTAGGCAGTTGCATTAGGATACATCAAGCTTAGACTGTACACATCAATTAAGAGACACCAGATGGCAGAAGTTTACTGGGCTCAGACTTTTTGGGGATGATTGTGTCTCTCTAATATAGGGACACCCTGGCTGTGGAGACATATATCCTGCTCATGGGAATGTTTTAAATACACATTACATTAATTAACAACACAAATTTAATAATCAGTCCATGATGAGACTTTGGATTCAGACCCAAGTTGGGCTGGCTCTGAAATTGATCATCAGGAAGTCACCTCACCCTCTTGCGTTGTCCAAGTGAAGAAGTAATCCTTCATCTCCAAATTTGGTAAAAATTTCATAATGGTGTCTGTCCATGTTACCTGATATAAAAAAAAAACATTTAATTACAAAAAAAAGAGAGAAACCTAAAGATAAGATAGCTTACCTATTAGAAAGTCAAAGATGGACATATCTATAATGTTTAGGAGCCGGTTTCCAGAGTTATAAGGATATGCTTGTTTAACCGAATCACAGTAGAAAGGATTTAATTCCCACCTGAAAAGAAAAACAATGCATAAGCAGAATCTTTATGGTAATGAATTCCGGAAAAAAAATACAAAGTTTGGTGAGAGGTATTATTACTATTTCATTTTCCAGTAAATAAAAACTTCACATTCTAATTAGTTTTGATTTTCACAAATGATAAAAAAAAATCTATATATTTTCATGTGCAACTAATAAACCTAAAAATGAACCCAAAAATGAAAATTCATTCATATTTTTCTGTAATTACATTTAAAATGCAAACTCATACTTAGTTTAACTGCACTCAGATGGATGTTTTAAGTGTTCTGGTCATTCCGATGAATCTCCCGCTAATGTAACCCAAGGTTTCTCAGATTCTGATATTGCATAATGATGAAAAAATGTACTTCGATTATAGAAATTTTATTTTTCTGGCCTACGCAATAAAGAATAAACTGCTGACTTAAAAGTTGTCCAGCGGATGGTCACTGACACCGTTTACATGGAGGGTAAGCCAGAATTGTTATGCGTGGAGTGGTAAACATATCAGCTGTTCATAGAGAGCTGTATCCAAGCATTTAAATGTAAAGCTTAGTGGAAGAAAAAGGCGCATAAGCAACCAATATGCCTCTAAGACTTGAGAGGGTGTAAACCAAAGTGTATCAAAGAGGTTAAGGAAGTTATTGCTTTAAGAGCCACCACACAAAGACATATCCAGGCACATTTATTGTTGTACCCACTTGGAATGAAAGACTCAAGGCTTCTGCCATGTGCAAAGGAGAATGGTGTCAGAGTCTCAAGATTTAGCGGTGTGGTGCAGAATCCAAGGTCATTCAGGTCTGATGTAAAGCTTTTAGAGTCGTTGATGAATTGGAAAGCCATGCTATCTGTGTTTTATCAAGTCTAAAGTCAGAACAGAAGATTTAAAGCTCTGCTTCTCCGAATACAAGCTTTTTAAAAATGATTAGGAGTCCTATAAACTCCAGTCCACAGTGCATTAATACAGCAATTCATGCAGACGAAGCCATGACCAAGTATACAGTGAATCCTCCACTGGGTGGTCCTCCAAAACCCTGACCACCCAGGGTGCAGACCAGGAAGCAGAGTTGTAGTTTAACACACATCTCTGCAGCTTCTCTACTGTTACCCACTCTTTACTCCATCCAGACAGTGTCTTGCCCACGACCAAAATCTAATAAATTAGCAAAGATTCCCAAAGGAGTAAATCATGATAATCTAATTAAAATCAAAATAACTCCAATTGGGGAAAAAGTTAAAACAATTAAATGCGGTCTGTTTAACATAAGATCGCTTTCCTCTAAAAGTCTACTAGTTAATGACTTGATTTGTGATAATCACATTGACTTGTTTTGCCTTACAGAAACCTGGCTGCAGCAAGAGGATTATGTGAGCATAAATGAGGCAACTCCTTCAAGCTATTTAAATTTTCACATACCCAGAAGTTCTGGGCGAGGAGGAGGAGTAGCAACAATCTTCCAGTCTGACTTACTGATTACTCCCAAAACAATTAATTCCTACAACTCTTTTGAACATTTAACCCTTAATTTCCCTGATCCAAATTTCAAGGCAAGAAAACCTCTTCTTTTTGTAACTTTGTATCGTCCACCAGGTCCTTACTCTGAATTTTTAGATGAGTTTTCAGAGTTCCTTTCTGATTTGGTATTAAATACTGACAGGGTCATCATAGTGGGAGATTTTAACATCCATGCTGACATTGAAGGCGATAGCTTAAGAGCAGCCTTTAATGCTATCTTAGACACTATTGGCTTTGTTCAAAATGTGAATAGTCGCACACATTCTCATCTTCATACTTTGGATCTTGTGCTGACATACGGCATAGAATGTGAAGAAATAACAGTATTTCCTCACAACCCTGTCCTCTCTGACCACTTTCTAATAACCTTCAGGATTACTTTAACAGAGTTCTCCTCCCCCAAAAGAAGGTTCAATTTTAGTAGATCTTTATCAGATAGTGCAGTTATAAATTTTAAAGAATCTGCTTCACTTTCTCTCTCCTCTGTGTCGCTGAGCAGTGCTGCAGAGTGCAAAAGCTTAGCTTATTCCCCTTCACAGGTTGATGATTTTGTTGATGGGGTTGCTAGTTCTCTGCGTATTGCCTTAGACAACGCAGCTCCTTTGAAAATGAAAACCGTTAAAAATAGACTTTGAAGCAAAATGCTAGGAAACTGGAGAGAAAATATCGCTCCACAGGCCTGCGAGAGTCCTTCCTAGTCTCGAAAAATGGTTTACTGCTGTATAAGAGGACCCTTTGTAAAGCAAGAGCAGCATACTTCTCCTCATTAATAGAGGAGAATAAGAATAATCCTAGATTTCTTTTTAATACAGTTGCCAAACTCACCCAGAGCCATAGCTCTGTTGAACCGTCCATTCCACCTGCAATTAGCAGCAATGATTTTATGGGATTCTTTATAAATAAGATTGATCTTATTAAAAATAAGATCATAAGCACTCCTCTATCCGCGATTGTACCTGAGGTAGTCATGGAATCTGAACCGGGTTTAGACTGCTTTGATCCAGTTGAACTTTCTGAATTAGCAAAATTATTGTCTTCATCTAAGCCTTCAACTTGTATGTTAGATCCAGTTCCAACCAGGTTATTTAAGGAGGTATTCCCTTTGATCTCCTCTTCCATTTTAGATGTGATTAATCTATCTCTGTTACAGGGATATGTACCTAAAGCTTTTAAGGTTGCTGTAGTTAAACCTCTGCTTAAGAAACCGTCTCTTGACCCAGATGACTTGGTTAATTATAGACCTATATCCAATCTTCCTTTCTTATCCAAAATTCTTGAGAAAGTAGTTGCCAAACAAGTGTGCGGTCACTTACACCATAATGAACTTTTTGAAGAGTTTCAGTCTGGCTTTAGAGCTCATCATAGCCCTGAAACAGCTCTGGTGAAAGTCACTAATGATATTCTCATGGCCTCAGATAATGGACTTGTATCTGTGCTCGTCCTGTTGGATCTTAGTGCTGCATTTGATACAGTTGACCATAATATTCTTTTAGAAAGACTTGAATATTTTGTTGGAATTAAAGGAACAGCACTAGACTGGTTTAAATCTTATCTATCTGATCGAATTCAGTTTGTTCATGTTAATGATAGATCTTCAACACGCTCAAAGGTTACCTGTGGAGTACCACAGGGATCAGTGCTAGGACCAATTCTCTTTACTTTATACATGCTCCCAATTGGTAGAATTATTAGACAGCATGGGATTAATTTCCACTGTTATGCTGATGATACCCAGCTATATCTGTCTATAAATCCAGATGAAGCTAACCCATTACATAGATTACAGGCATGTCTTGAAGACATAAAAACCTGGATGACTCTTAACTTTCTGCTTCTGAATGCAGACAAAACAGAAGTTATAGTCTTTGGACCAGAGTCTCTGAAAAAGAAACTGATTAGCCAGTCACTTCATTTGGATGGGATTAAACTGATTTCAGATAATAAAGTAAAAAATCTTGGTGTTATTTTTGATCAGGACCTGTCATTTAAATCCCATATCAAAGAGGTTTCTAGAATTTCCTTCTTTCATCTGAGGAACATTGCAAAAATTAGAAATATCCTGTCCAGGGGTGATGCTGAGAAACTAGTCCATGCATTTGTTACTTCAAGGCTGGACTATTGTAATTCTTTACTATCAGGAAGTCCACAAACTGTAGTTAAAAGCCTTCAGCTGATCCAAAATGCTGCAGCAAGAGTTCTAATGAAAATTAAAAAGAGAGATCATATCTCGCCTATCCTGGCTTCTCTTCATTGGCTTCCTGTTAAATCAAGAATAGAATTTAAAATCCTCCTTCTCACATATAAAGCCTTAAATGGCCAAGCTCCATCTGATATCAGAGATCTGATTGTTCCTTATGTTCCTAACAGAGCACTTCGCTCTCAATCTGCAGGTTTACTAGTGGTTCCTAGAATTTCTAAAGTAGAATGGGAGGCAGATCTTTTAGTTATCAGGCTCCTCTCCTGTGGAACCAACTACCAGTTTTAGTCCGTGAGGCAGACACCCTGTCTACTTTTAAGGCTAGGCTTAAAACCTTTTTGATAAAGCTTATAGTTAGGGTGGCTCAGGTTATCCTGAGCTATCTCTATAGTTATGCTGCTATAGGCTTAGACTTTTGGAGGACATAGGGACCCCCATTTCATCATTCTGCTTCATTCTCTCTCTGTTCTCCTATTCTGCAGAATCTGTTAGTTCAATCTCTGACCTTCTGCTCTCTCTGCTTTTCCTCAGAGTAGCTTTGCCTCGTCTGTTCCTGTTTGGCTGTGACGTCATCCTGGAAAGAAACATCAGCTGTGCTGCTTCTATCAACACCTTTGTTTATAGATGTTGGAGATCGGCCTGTTTTCCAGTGTGGTCCTGTTTCTCTGACCGTGACTGAGTGGATGTGCTCTCTTCGTCCTCTGGCATGGGAGCTGCCTTGGAGCTCGTCTGCCTGGCTGTGTGTTTCCTGGACGGGGCCGCCTTTTACAGCTGCTTTTTGTATCTCTGCTTCTGTCTCCTTGAACCCCAGTCGGCCTCGGCAGATGGCCGCTCACACTGAGCCTGGTTCTGCTGGAGGTTTCTTCCTGTTAAAAGGGAGTTTTTCCTCTCCACTGTCGCTACAAGCATGCTTAGTGTGGGGGATTGTATTTGAGTCAATGAGTCAATGCAATCAACTGGTTTTCCTTAGATAGAAAACTTTGTATCGATTTGACTGTATGATCTGGTTGAACTGTAAAGTGCCTTGAGATGACATGTGTTGTGAATTTGGCGCTATATAAATAAACTGAATTGAATTGAATTGAATTGAATACAGCTCAAAATATGGACATCTTTCTGTGGGCCAGTAGGACTGTTAAAAAATAGTCTAATGTAGGTCCTAATTTTTTGAAAGTCAAATAATTCTTTTTATTTGCCATAAACCATGGTCATAAAATCAATCTATAATTTGCTGTTAAAAACTCTCCCTCTAAATATTTGTTCAACTGTATGAATCTAATGACCTCAAATAAATAAAAGAAGGAACATTTGTTCTCCTAGCATCCCGAGTTTCAACCTATACTGTTTTAACATACAATTCAAATTTAGCTAAACATAAAATCCTTCTAAGTGCAGTTGCTGGATCCTTACTGCTCCCTTCCGGAGAAGGTGTAGGAGCGTTTCCAGGGGTTCGGGATGGAGATGCGTGGCGCGACGGTGAGGCCAGGCAGGTAGGCAGAAAGCGAGCCCTCCAGCAGGTCCGGGCTCCCGCACACGGCATATTCAGTCTTACATACGTACAGGCACTTGGAGAAGAAACATGTGTTGTTTGCTGTTGTAAAAGCAAAGAAGGAGTTCATTATGTCAGCTTTGTTGATCAGCCCTCCTATTTTCTTTTTGGTGCTAAAAATAATCAGTCAGAAAAATTGATGGTCAAGAAAGATCCTATTTATTGCAAAGTATTTTGCTATTTGTTTATTATTGAAAATATTTTACAACTGTATTGTTTCATTGATGACAGAAACCTCACTCCAGTCAAAAAGCTGCACTCCAATTCGGTTTCTTTTTTTTCCCGTAGCACCAATTTACAACTAGTCAATTCAATCAAACCCTACAGACATATTGATTTAAAAGTTTTACATCAAAGGAAATCCAGCAGATTGCATCGCGTTACTGACATGCAGCTATTCCAGTACTGGAACATTTAAACAAAATAGTTTCATATTTGGGATTTTATACAGTGTTTAAAAAAAAAACATCATCTTCATTTGACTTATATATATAAACAAAGAAAATGTTTAATTGCTTTTTTGATTGTGTTTGACTGCAGGACAGAGTACATTTATGTAAAATATGGAGAAGTTTTTTTTTTATATGATTCTTACAAATAAAAACCTTGAAATAGTTGCATGAATTTGTTCCTTTGAACAGATGGGTTCTTTTCACCCATCTGTTCTATCATCTTGACTTTCTAATAAATGAGCTATGCCCATTGGAGGAGGAGGAAAACCACAGCCAGTGCCTGCATACAGTCTGCTGGGTTTCCTCAGATATGCATTTTTTCAGCAACTTGAATTAAAAACTTGAAAATGTAAAAAAAAAGCAAGTTTTGTAATTTTATGTCACCGTCATGCTCTGCTTTATTTATATATGTTTGTCACACAAAATCCTAATAAAATATGTTAACTGAAGTGTGTTGTAACAAAAATATCTTGTACCTGTTTGAATGATATGGTTGTAATTTTTTACTTTCTTTTCTTTCTAAAAAAAAAAAGTTAAATCCATCTACAGCTGCTTTAGATATCAGCTGCCAGAACTCTGAAAAGGTCCAGAATGTGAGCTCACTCCACACTGATTTCAATCTCTCTGCTTTGCCTTCCTGTTCATTTCAGAGCAGATTTCAGGATGTTATTGCTGGTTCTTAATATTTATGCCCTTTATTCTCATCCTTCAGTCGCTAAAGACCCATGGGCTTTTGGAAGGGCTCTACACAAAGAAAAAATGTTTTTCTCCTGTCATGATCTTGGTGCTGATGTATGGTCTGATTACTCATTTCAACCACCTGCTTATCTCCACCCAGCTCTCATTACCGCTCATCTGATCCACCTGCTTCAGTATCAATTTAACCAGCCTTCAGACCAGTCATCAGTGCTAGATTATTATGAGCCTGTGGTGAGAGTTCTCTAGCGTACGTGTTTCTGATTGCCTGATCCTGACCCGTTCTGCCTCTGCACCTTTGACCTGCCTCTTCCCATTCTAATCTATGTCTAACCTCTTCACACCCTGACTCCTGCTGGATCTCTGCCTGTCTGTGAACCGAACATGGAACTGCTTCCCAACTCTGTTTTGGATTTCCCATCGGCACCTCTTTGGACCTCTTATCACCTGGCTCTGACTGCTGAGCTCCTCATCGACACTAGCTTTGGCTTCACCCTCTGTAATCTCCTACCTTCTATCGTCTGCTCGGTTCTGATCACTTGCTTGTCCTCTGACCTTCAAGACATCAGCTTCTGGGACTCTCTGTGTGGCATCCACCGCATGGTATGACAGCCGACCTGCTGGAATCAACCTCACCCTCTGGGTTCAAACTGCTGCAGTTCACTGCAGTTTCATTTTTCATAAACGCTTTGAGAAATCTAATCTTTGTCCACCTGGAATACTGGGTCCTTCCGTTCCGAGCCTTTCATGCTCTTAATATTGCAGAACTTTTTAAGGGATTTTAAAAGTAAACCAAACAAATATGTGCTCAATCTTGTATTTAGTTGACTGCAAAGTACAAGTTCTAATTATTTAATATTATATTTCTCTTTCAGTTAGTCTTTTATTATCAAATTATTTTTTATAATCTTATTAATATTCATTTATCAAAATCTTGGAACAGTTAGCCAATCCAGCTGATTTTCTGAAATGGAAATGGAACGAAGCTGATCGTGTTTTTTTACCCACAAAAATTCCCACTTTTAAGATAAAGGAAATTGATCAATTTCTACTTGGAAAAATGGACAGAGTTTCTTTTAAAGTCACCCTATGCTCAGTTTCTCTACGGATAGTCATATTTTAAGTGTAGTCTAGGATTTAGTACCAATAAAACAATGTTTTTGACAAACACCAGCTGACGCTTTTGGACAGCAAGGACTTACTCAGTTAAAACATTAACAATGAGACCACTTAAATCACATATTGTTTTTTCTTCAGATTATAAATTTGTAGATCTGTGGCATGAGTGCTCTGTAAATGCTGAAATCCAGATGCCTATTGGTACCTGGTGAGGTGAAGAACACGGCTCGTAGGTCTTCGCTGTGGGCTACTTGCAGAACTTCTCCAGTTACATTCACTCGTCTGCCAGCCACTGGCGGAACCCTCCGGAAATCCAGGATCCTGTAAATAGGAGGTAGTTTTACCAAAAAAAATACGATTTACATAAAATGCCTTGCAAAAGTATTCTTTTTCCAAATTTGTTAACTTGCAACAAAAAACTGATGTATGATACTGACAGATTTTATGCAACCTGAACAGGGTTTAGATTTAGTTGTTTTAGACATTCTTTAGACATTACTAGTCACCTACCTGTGTGTTCTATATTCTCATTAAGAAACATTTATAAACATTAATCAACATATGCGATAGTTTCTGATTTTTATTATTACATCATAACAATATTTTAACACCTCACAGAACAACTTATGGTCCGTCATCCTGCATTGGGGGGTAAGACAGAACTACAAACTACCATTGCTTTTATAGTCTCCTTGTCCCTCCTTATGGGTGGATAGACAAGGAGACTATAAAATCGATGGTAGCTCAAAAAGTTCTGCAGAGATCTACAGCTCATGTGAGGAAATCTGTTGACAGGTCAGCTATTGGTCTTACACTCCAAGGGCCTGTTCAATAATAATAATATAATTAAATAACTTGCAATTGCAAGGTGTTCTGTTCCCCTGTAAATGGGAGGGGGTTGCGATGATAGCGGGAGGATACCAACTCAATCGCTGAATTGTACATAAAATATGTAACTATTATCCTTATCCGTAAATATTTCAAACATACTCTTTCGATTCTGGCTTTTTTAACTTCAAAGATACTCAAAGTAAAGTAAAAAGCAGAGCAGTTTTACTAGCCCACAATCACATTTATATGGTAGTGAAATGCCAGCCCTCCCACTGCACTTAGACTTCAGAGGTTTGATCTATTTTGTTCTGTTTTTATCAACATGGTGTAGATATTATATAATGTTGAAAAATGTTAGTTAATATTCTTATGCTAAACAAAGGTAATAATAAATGAATATGAATAAGGACTTTTACATATTTATTAACATTGTCTGTTTGTTTACCAGATGGGGGAAGAGTTGGGGATGGGGTCCCTAACCAAACATTAATGCTGCATAGGGAGTGCCAGCAAACCATTGGTATGGGTCACAACGTATCAATGTGATAAAATGGCCTAATCACTGTTTTTTAAATCAGGAGGACATGTGGGGATACTTGAATTTGGACATTTATAAATCCTCTCTATCTAATGTGAGCTTGCAATATTTTACTAAGTGTAAAATTAAAACTCTGTTGAGCTAGTAATAAATAATAAAGATCATCCAAGCATTTCTTTAAAGTTGCAGCAGTTCCTGCAGACACCTGTGTTTGTTAACCTGAAGATAACGGTGGCTTTACTTCTGGATTGGTTCTGATCAGTTTTTTAGTCTTTTTGTTTTTATCAAAAATGCAGCACTGCAGCGCGGTATGGCTGGCTCTGCCCACATGAAATATCAACAACATAGAAACTCTGTAGGGGCCATATTTCACTCAAGCCTCACAAACAGTAATCAAACAATCAAGGGTGTGAAGCTGAATAGCTGTTTCTAAAATTGCTGGCATTCCCCAACCCCTCATTGCAAGTGATAATGATGAGAGCGGACAGCCAAGTCAGACACAACAAAGCGATTCGGCACACCACCTCTGATTCAGAAAGTAGGCATGCTGAATAAAGCTATTAAGCAAGCAAAAAGGAGAAAACTACTCTTTATGAAACTTTGATATTTTTAAACTCCAACATATTTGTGGCTGTTAGAGTAATTGTTTCTGTAGGTGACGTGCCGCTCATGTTGTTTTCTGTCTCGTGTGGAGAAGCCATGACCTATCACTGCCTGTGGCTTCTTAATTACACCGTCTCCATCAGATGACTGTATTTCAGAATGAATCATCCCACTTCAGCTTAGAGTGTAGCCATTTAAGGATGTGTGTGTGTCTGCATCAAAACTCTGAGGTTTATACTGATCAGCAAGTTGGGAAACCCTGGGCTGTGAAGAAATGTAGCAATCTTTTTTGGAAGCTAAATAAACAGTTGCAGGGAGGAGGATTATTTCTTTTAAACGTGTTTGCGTCTGATTTGCTGTGGTATCAGCTTGGTTTTAAGTTAAATACAGGTATCAGCAAACCAACAGGCTCAAAATAATGATCCTTCTGCTGAGGACTTCAGCTATTTTGTTATTTTGCAAGAAGCTAGCTTCTTATTTAGCAAGAAGCTAGCTTTAACAGAAGCTAGATTGCTGTTTAAAAGGTGAAAAATAAAGGTCTATATACATAATAAGTTTAACAATCTCAAAAGTCCAGACAGCACCTCGGTGTGGTGTTAAAAATATTTAGCTATATATCAATATATGTGTTTAAATATTGTATGACAAACAATTGCTGTTATTGATATAGGGAATCTAGCTCATCATCCAGGACATCATAGCCTGAGATCTTTAAAAACTCCAAATAGCACCTCTGAAATGGCCCCAACACATTTATTGATGCTTAATTGTGTGTCCAGTGGGAGGTTTGTGCCCCACTACGTTGTTTAAAGGTTCCCCCATCCTTGTGGGGACTGTGCACCTACTGTGAGCCATGCAGAGTCTGATATTTCAGCCTTTGTATTCAAGCTTATGTTGTCACTGGTTGTCTTAGTCATTGTGCTTAAAAAACAAAATAAACAATGCTAGTTGGGTGTCTTACCATCACACACCTGTCAGTAAGATGGACCTCCTTTTAAAAATAAAAACTGTTCGATAAGGCTTTTTCAATATATTATTTCTTTTTCAATAACAGAATCCTGATAATCCTCACACGACCAAAACTGGACAATTTAACACTTTTCTTAATCGCAGTAGGAAGTTTAGAATGTATTTCACTAGTCAAAGTACACAAAACATATTTTATGTTTGAGTTTAGTGCAACTTAATTCAATACGTCAGACCATATATGGATCCCATTTGCCATAATGTTTTAACCACAAAGAGGTGTAGTGAGTAACACGATTGTGACTTTATGGCCGCACCTATCATTAGGTGGGCTGTACTGGACAGTAATGATTAATTTTTGTTCAAACCAAATGAGTTATAAGCAGGAAAAAATGTTGTGTCTCACTATCCTTGTGGGGACTTTTCATTGACTACCATTCATTTTGCATTCATTTCTATGGCCTAACCCTAAGTATTAGTAACCCATTCCAAATCCTAAGCCTAACCTATACTCAATTCACACCTTCGTACTGAACCTTACCCCCACTCCAAGAAGAGAACTTGTCATGGGGAACAGTTGATCGTCCCAACAAGAACCAGAAAGGTAGTCCCCAAAAATTAGCATATTTCTGGGAAAAATGTCCCCACAGGGTAACAAAAACACAGCCATATATACAGATACACACACAGTGGGATAGAAAGGTTTCTAGTCAGACACTGATTGTGCAGATTATGCTTCTTTGATGAGAGATAGATCCACTTTAGAGGTATAGTGGAGAATGTTCACAAATTTTTGTAAAGACCCACCCTCTCAACTGTAAAACAGAAAAATGCACATGCACAACCCTGTACCCTAATAAACATGTGCAAGAGCATGTAGGAGCCCATTGAGCATGCTAAGCTTACTTTCCAAAAGAAGATTTGCATTTTTTCCATGATGTCAGACTCACCACTGGTAAGTGAAAATGGGGACGAGCATCTAGGACGGCCTTACGTAAACATATCACCAGGAATGATTGACAATGAGGAGGACCACTTATGTAGATGATCCATCCTGAAAAATAATATCCTCCACTATACCTATAACTTTAACAGAAAAAAAAATAAACCTGGTAGTCACACTGCAGGATTTTTCAAGTATTTTTTTTGTAAATTCTGGTGGAAAACAAGTATTTTGTCAAAAACAAAAGTTAAACTCAAATCACAAATGAAGTATTCCTGTGATTAAGCAAAATACAGAGCTCTCTCATTCTAAATCTTTCTATATATGTGATAGAAGCATGGTTTGTCTTCACCTGTCTAGGTGAAACGCAGCGATCTCTGCATTGTGTCTCTGGAAGTCAACAAAGTAGAAGAAGTCCTCTGGAGTTTCCTCGTCTCTCTGCTGCCTGAATGTAGACATATACAGACATAGACATGTGCTAAGCAAAAATGTCACTTATATTACTCTAAAGTGTGTAATCAACAAGATAAATACTGACATTTCCTCAGGCTACTGGATAATTCTGCCAAATCTAAATGAAGTAAGAGCATAGCTTCACAGTCTTTGCTGTGATTTATAGAGAGACCAGCCACACCTGAAAAAACCCTTAAATGCAGACTTTACATGCAGGGCTATTTCATCATGTAAGTACCTCACCATTCCTCTGGTGGGGAAAAGTTTCTCACCTCATTGGTTTAAACATTGCTTTGCCAAAGTTGAGCATCTTCAAAGCCAGCTTCAGGTGATGTCCACTTGGTTTAACCACTGCCAGAAAGACAGAAAGGAGATGTGTTCGTTATGGAATATAATGTGCTTCCTTACAGATATCCTGAGTTTATGCTTTTTTCATAATCCATGTTATGATAAATGTTAATAGCAGTCAAAATACCCTGAATAAGCACATTTAAAAAAATAAAATGGTTTGATTTAAGTGCAAAAGACATTGATACCAATGGGGGGAAAAAGAGTCAAATCAGTTGGTTTAATGATCTCAGTTCTTTGATTGGAGCAAAAATTATAAAACAAAACAGGAAACCACTGATGGGACAATTCCTTTCTCTCAGACTATTCAACAAGAACTGACACGGAGAAACGGTAAGTAAGACAGGAATGGGCGTTGTTTGATTTTTGAGGTTTTAATCTAAACCAGGAAAAACCCCTTGAGTTTCTTAACTCCAAACACAACTTTACTCTGTATAAAAGCTTCAAGCAAGTTGTTTGGTAGATATTTTTGCCTTTGCATGTTTCCTGGCTTAATCTCCCTAAAACTAATGCAAAGTCTGGAAATAATTGTTCTGCCCCTCCTGTGTGATGAAGTCAGTTGGGGTTGGTTCATCCAGCTCCTTCTCAGCAGCTCTGTCTGCCCGTCTATTACAGTCTCAGCAGTAAGACCCGACAAACCACATGCTGTGCTCCATGAAACTCCAGGATATTATTAATTAACAATCCTCCAGAGTTTACAATCAAAACATTTCTGGAAAAGAGTCAATGGGGAGTCATACTCTATGGGCAGCTGCAGTTGATGAACTGTGTCCAAGTTTAGGCCTAAAATAACAAGAATTTAAATTGTAGCTCAAACACTTGATGAAAAACTTGGCCTCTGAGCACAAACTACGGTAATGTCTGCTGTTTTCAAATCTGAATTGTTTTGACATATAAAAATCCATACAGTGATATTACAAAGGAAGCCGTGTGTTTGTGCCAGATGCAGAAGAGGCATTGCAGGAGACACCATTTAAAACATTAAATAAGCAAATATCATTAGAAGCAGTGAGAGGCTGAACGTACCTTGAGTACAATCACATGCACCTTTTAGAGCTTTCTCATCTTGGGTGTAATCTGTAAGAGTAAAAACAGTGGAGCTCAACTTTCAGCAAAAATTTTTAGGAATTATATGATGCAATCTAATGTAAAAACACACTGTATAATGTAAAAAAAGAAAATACATATTTAGTTTTTATACTAAAACAGAAATAATGTTAATAGTTGATTTGGTTTAGAGTAAGTTAATGCCTCAAACATTTTAATACATGGTTGATATCACCTTATCTCATCTCTGCTCTTCCTCTGTTCAACCCTGCTTCATGTTCTTCATGTTCTCTTTTTATAATCACTTCACCGCCGACTTATCCTCCTCATCCATCTTTACATTGTTTATTACATCCATCCATCCTCTTCATCCCTTTTTATATCCAGTTTTCATCCCATTCCTCCTTATCATCCCACTCTACCAACATTTTAATCTCTCTCACCGTAATTGTCCTTCTTTACAACCTGTTTTTGTTATCCCAGTTATTCTGCTCTTCCTCTCTACAACCTTTCACCCCACTTTTTCTTCACATGTTTGCCACCCCTTCTCATTCAGCCCCCTAAGAACACATTTATCTCCAAAACCAATGTTTATTCATCATTCTCATCTGACTTGATAAGCCCTATTTTAACCACTTGTTAAAGTAAAATTAAATTAAATCTGAAATTTTTTAATAATTTTTCATTTAAAGGAAATTTGTGAAAATCTTGATAAGAGGCACATTAATTTATTAATTAATACTTTGAGGAATGAGGACAGTCAGAGATACAGTCAAATCCATTTCCTGGTCTGCATGCTCTGCTCTCCACTTAAATAGCTTTTTTTACAACAGAAGATGTCATAAAAAAACAGTAGGCAAGAAGATAAAGCAGTCCTTGAGCATCTGATATCTAAAGGAGTCAGTATGATATGGAGCTCTGGAGAGAAGAAAACAAAACCTCTGTATCAGAGAAAGGCCCTGCATTTCAGGCATCTCTAAGTGTGGCACGCTGACCTGCAGAAGCATTTCTGGTCCAAACTGGATATTTTTATTGACAACAAACTGATTTAAGATACGCAAAGAAAAAACAAGTAGCTCAGGCCTGAAAGTGCTGGTCTGACTCTCAGTTAAACTAAACACAATGGCCTAGGCCTAGTCCATATAAAGAAAAATAGGATATATTTTCTGTGCACACCAGTGATGAAGAAGCTGTAATACGCATGCCAGGCCCTTTGGTGGCGCTGTGACAGAGCCACACCCTGACACAAACACTGAGCATCCGCACATGATTAATGCGATGTAAACCCAGCAGCGTAGCAATGATGTGGGTAAAGCTACAGCATCATATTTGAAAAAAGAGGGCTCGCATGAACGTACTAAAACATGACTCCATTTTGATACACAGCTTGACCTACAAAATCTCCTTGCAGTTACCCCTTATCTCATCTTCATGGAGATAGGGCTCCTCTGCTCATCTTAGCTCTTCCTTGAAGTGACCATACTCTATTCGGTTTAATTTCAGCAATTTACACAAAACTATTTCTCAATTAAAGTTCAATGAAAGAAGCAAATCTGTCAAACCTAAACCATGGACTTTATTAAGTTGCAGTTACACTTTAACTTTCACTAAAATTAGATTAACAAGCCTGCTCATATATTTATTAGATACTTTACCTTAGATGAATGTCAACTTTTTGATTCACCTTCTTCCTTCGGGGTCTCTCATCTTTTGCAGTTCATACAAGCTTATGTTTTGGGCATATTCCCTGCCTGAAAGTATGTTTTAATATCCCTTTACCTGCACTGACGATCGTCATATTCTTCATATCACTGAGAAGCTGGAGGATGGCAGGGTCATCCCGGGAATACAGAGCATAGCGGTTTATTCCCAGGTGGAACTTCAGCCAGCTGGCATCAGGGTCATAAGTCATCTTTTGCTCCATGAAAGAGATGTTTGCCAGAGAAGCTGCCTCTTCGTGGAGTTTCTTACGTCTGTGCAGAGCCAAACAGACAACAAAGGTTAAATAGGACCTGGAGGACACATTATTTGCCATTTCTGATACCTACAAAAGGTGGAATTAACTGACAATTATTAGATGCAATATTTTCAAGTGTGAAATGTGCTCTATCGTTTTTATTACCTTAAGCTCTAGGAAAAGGTAATCTGAACCATGCAGTGACAATATCGATGGTCAAAGGGGTAAAACATGGTTCAGGTGATCGCGACAAGTTAAACAGACGAGCAAACTCCATTTTAAAACAAACTGATATAGTGGGGCAAAGGGCTAAAATGTGAGCTTGTTTGCAGGTCAACCTACCCAGCTCAGTCAGCAAGCAAGCTGATGGGTAAACAAGATAACTGACAAGTGATGAACACATAGAGTGGAGGGTTGCTTCTCCTGTTAAATACATGCTTGAAAAAGGCTCCATACTGGTTTCTATACTATATGGACATTTTTACCTGAAGAAGGTGATTTGGATAGACAAAGGTCCAGTTTAAACTTTGTGGCCTGAAAGCAAAATGTTGGACATAAACCTGAACATAGAGTGTGGACCAACAGACGTGGCGGCATCAGGCTACATGATTGCTTTTCTTCAGCAGAGACAGAAAGGCAGGTTAGAGTTAATGTGGTGCTGGGTTGAGCTGAATGCAAGGGAATCCTTGAAGAATTTAATTTAGGAACTGGAGCATCTGGCTTTGGAATGCTGTGCTGCTGGAAGTATTTTCCTGTTACTTTTTAATGTTTGAACAGTTGTTCAACCATAGGAAAAGAGTGTTAACAACCTGGCATGCCTTCAAAACTCATCAAAAGCTTAAATAAATCTCAGATGAGTTGAAAAGGTAACAGTGTAGGATCAAAGAAGAGAGAAGAAGGAAGGTCAATAGATCTCCACTGATCAAAATGTGCAATGTCTGCCATTTGGCCAATAAAATAGACTAACCTCAAACACTAACAAGCATCCAGCCTATGTACCAAATGTGCCTCCATGATCATTCCCACAATACACAATATCTTTCTATGAGGCCTTCTATCTGCACAGGTAATTAGAGATTTAGAAGAGTAGCAAAAGCAAAGGAGGTGGATGATACTGCATATCAACAACATTTAATGCACTAATATTATTATAGCAATTGCTTAAAATTTCTACAGACACTGCATGTGATGCCATCAGCTCAGTTGTTGCTTGACTTCAAATTTCTATTTATGTGCAATAATATTACTCAGCTTCCTCTCTGCTACATATCCAAACTTTCAAGTATGCCAGCTGCTGCACGCATCTGCACCAGGACAATGTATTGCAAATTCATATAAGGGCTCTGGTTATGATAAAAAATGCTTGTTCTGGGGCAATTATTGGGTAGAAACACAAAAGCATGATTAGAAGTCAAGATCAGATAGCAAGGAGAAGCTCCAGCATAACATAGTCAGAGGTTCGTTGTCAGGAATAATCAAGATTGCAGGCTTCAGCAGAAGAATGATCAGAAATGTTTGGGCTGAGAAAATAACCTAAACATAAAAAACCGTCAGTGGCTTAGTTTCTGTCCTAAACGGCCCCCCATAAAAAGCTCATCATGCACCTCTCCTGCCAAACAAACTCCCCCTTCACTCTGAGCCACAACATCCCTGACAGGTTTGAGGTGTTTATATCCAAACTCAGGTGTAGACCATTCCTCTTTTCATCTTTGTCTTCAACCTTATCAGGTGTTTCCGGGGCTTTCTTTAGTTTCCCCTCTAAGCTGTCCGTCTCTAAAGGTCAGATGAAGCGGCCGCTGGAGAGGCTGAACTGGCACAAGGGTGCAGGTTGAGATGGCTTATCCAGAGGAGCGCTATGGGATTTTAATGCATCAAACTCTTCAACCTTAGCCTGATTTAAAAGAAGGTCCTAATCTTGCTTTTCTCCAGTGCAGAATAAAGCTCATCTATCCTTCCCTGCCATAGAGTTGTTGCCCTGACATCACAAAGGTCCTGAACAGGTTCTTATGTTGGCTCATCTAAATAAGGGAATTGTCTCAGATTTAATGTGAAAAACAGACAGGAAACAAGTACTCCATCTCAGTTCTATACTGGTTTATAACCATAACTTCCTTGAGGTCTGTGGCTGTAACATGAGTTTTTTCATATAGGAGCTGAAAATCTGCATCGTAGAGGTAGCATATGAATAAACAAACACGCTAAGCAAGTTTCCAGAATAGTAGAATGACTTCAACTGTGATAAATGAATTGTTGACTAAAACACTCTTGCGATCAGGAGTTTGGAGTCTGCACTTCTCAGGGATGTGTGTCTTTAAACTTCTGTTTATGTGTTGCAAAGTGCTGTGGATGTGCTTGACTGCTCTGCCACTGACCTTGACTTTCAACCACAGAATGCACCAACACATACTACTGAGCTGGAAGATTTCTGCCCTTCCTTCAAAGGCTGTCATTGTCAAAATATTTTCATCATTTTCTTTTTTTAGAATTTGATGCCTCTTATTTAAAAAAGGTACTTTAGAACCTGACCTTTCCCAGTGAGACACTTTCCTCTTGTAGTACTCGATCAGCTGTTCCACCTGCAGGAGCCTCTCCTCAGGGTTCAGCTCTGGAGTCTGGATGTTGTACAGAGGGTGAGAGAACAGCCTCTGCATCTTGGAGCCTCTTTCATCAAGTTCAGGGGTAGATGGATAAACTAGAAGAGGTGCATGACTCCAGTTGGACAGTTGTGGGGTGGCAAGAGTCTCCAATGTGGGGAGGCTGAGGTTGCTGTTGGGACTACATGAGCAAATATCTCTCTCTGGGTGCCCCCTTCTCTGCAGCTTCGGCAGAAGGATGAAGTAGAAATCTGCAGAAAAGAGCGCTGCAAGGGCTGCAGCCAAGAGAAAACGGTCTCTTCTCATTGCTGTGATAAAAAAGAGACAGGAATTTGAAAAGTTTTAAAATAAAAGAAAAGGTCCAGTTTGATCCAAAATATTTGAGGGATCAAATTGTTGGTATCATCCAGTCACACAGATTGACAAAGCCTGGTTTTAACGCTCAGATTATCCAAGTCTCCCAGTTTCTCTGCTTTCTGTCTCTTCTCTTTTGCCACACTTTCCATCCTCCTCCTTCCTTGGCAATAACTTTAAAAAGAGCTCCGAGCTCCTAGCAGGCATGTGTTTGCAGCAGTTCTGACAGTCTGGCTGCTCCAAGGACCTGCTGCTATGAGGAGGAGCTGGTTAGTGACTGTTTAGTGTTGCAACATTGTGGGTGTGCTCATGCAAACATCAAGCAGAATGAGACAGTGCTTTAGAGAAGGTGCAGATTCCAGTCAGAGTGAAGTGAGAGCTGCAGAAGTTGTTCTCAGAAGTTGTTTTAGAGAAAACAGATTTATATCCACTCTGAAGCCCAGTTTCAACAGGTGTGATCAGGTTTCGTCTGACTCAAATATTACGTTTGCATATGCAAATTAGCTGCTGTGTGTAGAAACTTGTTAAACTCCCAGGAGGCAACTCTTCATCAGTGATATTTTTGCTTCCTTCCTTTTCAGTAAACTTTCATTTCTCACACCTCCTTCAGTGTCATTATTTGAACCATCACAGCTCCAAACTCCTTGCTCTCTGCTCATCTCTCCCTCATGCTTGTTTTACTTTTCACCACGGATCTCTGGCTTGCTTCGCTCCAGGCAAAATTCCCAGCTGCACTCTCCTCCCTGCTGCAGTTCTCTGACATCAGATCCCTCACCCCCCCTCTCATGTGAAGCTGCAGAGAAGAACACTTTTAAGGCTGAAACTAAACAATTGTGCTGGCACTTCTTCAAAATGAGGGAAACATGGTTTAAAACAAAGCCCTCTGTTCAAACCGTTTTGTCTGCGTCTGCCTGATGTTTGTAATCACATACAGCTCCTAATAGCTCTGTGTTTTCTGTGTCTCCTCTGAAAGCTTATATGGTGAAGCCATTCAGCTATCAAAGGGAATTTCACAGCCTGCCTCTGTTGTTTTGTGGTATTTTCAAACATCTGCTGTGTAAATGTATTTATGTGCGTATAGAGGTGGGTGTGTTTTTGTGCGTAACTGTGGCAGAATTGCATGTAAGTGTGTGAAAGTAGCTCCTCAGGATGTTTTAACTTCTCTCAAGATAAAACAGTCTGACAGTGTAAATGGGGAAAATTAGTGAAATGAAGCTTTAACCTGTTATTTAGTCAACTTTCGCAGAATCTGTGATTAGCCTTTGTGCCCCAAGGCAGTTGGGTTATTGCCATTTTAGTTATTTCAAAGACTACAACTAAATCAAGACCAAGGAAAGAAGAAAGAGGGAGACTGTTGCCTGAAAGTAATTATATTTACTACAGGCTCTCATTATAAAAGTATAAATTGATGCTTTTAGCAGGGAACAGCCTGTTTTTGCCAATACCAATTGCTGCAGCTGACTGAAAAAAGAGGAAGATAGGTGGGCTTTGCAAGAATGTCTAGAGAAGGCTTACTTAAAGTTAAGCTTCATGTGTGTTCTAAGAAAACAAGCTCCACATATAATCAACAAACTGTCAATTTTCTATCAGCTAAATGATTTACCTAAGTGTCAAAATGCAGAGTAGAGATGGAAAGATATTCATTCAAGTGATTTTAAAAGACTCCAAATGCCCTTAAAGGCATAGAGGACGATCTTTTATTTCCGGGTAGATCATCTAAATAAGTGGTCCTCTAAATTCTCTATCCTGGCGATATGCTTACGTAAGGCCGTCCTACGTGCTCATCCACATAACTATAATTTTCAGGGCTATATCTGTGGTGAGCTACGGTTACATACAGTCATTGAAGCACACCTTTCTCACTGCGGTTCTTTGAAAATAGCAGAGGGTCATAAGAGAAAAAAGGTCTAAGGAGAGTATGAGAAGAAAAGAAAGGCATCAGAAGAGGCAGGTTTATCCCAGAATGCTTTGCGCTGAGAGCTGTCACTGTCGCCACTGTCGCCATAGTAACTAATAATGAGGATCAAGCAAGCACTGTGCAGTGGAGGAGGATTTAGATGACCAAAGGGGAGCAAAACACAGTGGTCATCTGTCCAAACTGTAACTTCACTAAGTTCACTATATAGTCCACGCTCTATATAGTGATTGGAGGATTTAGGGGTTAGAGTGGACGTTCGGTTGTGCATGTCCTCCACTATACCTTAAAGCATTTGCCTGAAGTTTTTTTTATATTTTTTCTCTTTATACCTCAATTCTGCTTCAATTTCTTTAAGCTGTAAAAATTGAAAATTCAGAGGAAACTAAATAGAAGAAAATAGGTCCTATCATTAGCCAAGTATTTGGCTGCAAGCATAGTGAAATCCCAGAGTCCATCCTCTTGTATGGACAGGGGAGTCAGCGAATGAATGAAATATTAGGTAGAGGATTCATATATGAAATTCTGTTTTGCTTCCAAAGAAGTAAACTGCATCCCAAAATTTCTACTGGTGTCCTTGTAACCTCAAAAACACATCAAGAAGATGGCATTTCCTTTTTTTTTATGTCTCACAGTCATCGGAGAAATCCCATATGACACAACATCGAGATGCTTCTTACACACACATTTTCAGAAAAAGACTGGGTTAAAATGCATATTTATATATATATGTATATATATATATATATATATATATATATATATATATATATATATATATATATATATATATATATTAGTGCTGTCAATCGATTACATTTTTTTAATCGCGATTAATCGCATCAATGCCTGAGTTAACTCGCGATTAATCGCATTTTAATCGCAAATTTTTTTTCTGATTGAAAATCATTTAAATACTCTCGATGACATACAAAAAATACATACAGGCTAGGTTTGTGCCAATGTTCTTTTTTTAAAATGAAAACAGGTCACAGACACTGATTTATGCCATAGAAACATATGGCAAGAAGATGGCATGTAGCAAAAAATAACAAATATGTAGGCAAAAAAAAGGCCCTGAAAACAGGCTGATGTAAAAGACAGTCTTTACAGTTAATACAGTCTTTTGAACAAAGACAAGCATTTTACCCTACTGCTATAAAATGTAGTACAGTTAACATTAGATGTTAATTAACAAAGATAATAATGAACAATTTTCAATCAATACATCAAAATCAATAGACCGACATCACTAGATGGAGGTAGTCTATGCTCTAGAAAGTTACTTTTCAGCCTCTTAACAAAAATGAGAACACACCCACCCACACACACACACACCCACCCACACACCCACCCACACACAGACACACCCACCCACACACACAAACACCCACCCACACACACACACACCCACCCACACACACACACACACACACGATACCGACCTGTGGCGTACACAGACAGCAAGAGTGCCGTAGCAGATTCCATTTCACCTCAGTAATCTGTTTTCTCAGCGTATTTCAGGTTGCTACTAGTTACCAGACACTCAACTTGTTTGTTGGTGGTGGGGCTTAAAGAAAAGGCACTAGCGTCACCCAGTGTATGAGCGTCTGTTTCCCTTGAGGAGCTCCGCTCTCGAAGCCTATGAGAAATGCATAGACTGGGGGAAAATAGCCCCGCCTTCTCGCAGGCTGCAGCGGGATGTACTTGGAAAATTGTACCATAAAACCACATAGCGTTAATCTCACGGTAAAAAAATTATCGCCGTTAAAATGGCCTCGCGTTAACGCGATAATAACGCGATAATTTTGACAGCACTAATATATATATATATATATTAGTGTTCCACCGATACCGATTCCAGTATCGGACGGGGCCCCGATACTGCCCTAAAATGGTGGTATCGGTATCAGCGAGTACCAACAAATAGGGCACCCATACCATTTTGAGAGCCATAAGTTTATTCAACTATTGTCACCCACTCCTGGTAGGCAATAAAAGTTCTACTGGATTCACTTTGTATTAGATTTTGTCCTGCTTCACAAAGGTAGGCAGCAGCTTGATGGCAATTATTTTACATTATTATGGTATCGGTATCGGCCGATACTGCACAGCCAGGTATCGGGTATCGGTATCGGGGCCAAAAAATGCCATCGGCGCAACACTAATATATATATATATATATATATATATATATATATATATATATATATATATATATATTTATTTATTTATTCATTTTTTCTTTTTTTTTCTTTTTCAGATGTGAAGACATACAAGGAAAAAATATTTGTTGACAAAATAGTTTTTCTCACCAAATGAAATTCAAATTGAGAAGCAGCATCTTATTATTCATTGTTTTCTCCTAATCCTTTCCCATTAATCTTGCATTTAAACAACTTTAGTCTGACTGTGGGGCAAGGCAGCCAAAGCTCTGGGTCCAAAGCAAGGATTTTACTCCAGTTAGTTCTTCTACAATCCATCAAACCTCTTAAAGCAGGCTCTCATCATAGCCAGTACTCCTCTGCAGCCAGTAATGGAAATTCATAAGTGGAATAAAAGAAATACATTGCAAAATAAGACAGAATAGTTCTCTGAAGTCCAGATAACTTTTAAAATATTTGCATGATGATTGAACACTGATTAACAAAAAGAAAATTAGAAGTCATCTTTAAATAAGGCAGATGAATGATGGCTGCAAATTCAAAATAGGCATATACAAAAACCAATGAAGATTATACTAAGTTACAACACCAGTATATTTATATTAATGCTAACAACCAAAAACATTATAAAAAAAACTTAATAAAAACAAAAATATAATTTTATGTACAGATTTACTTTTTGTACATATATCTTGCCCTTCTGAAGGCAAATCTGTGTTTTGCATGGTCCAATATGGTGTCAAAACCTTAACAAATAATCTACCATCAAAGCCATAGAATGGGAACCAAAGAGAGCCAAGGAGAGCCAGACCCCAGCAAAGCCATAACTATGACTCACTCTGAGCCTGGTTCTGATGGAGGTTTCTTCCTGTTAAAAGGGAGTTTTCCTCTCTACTGTCGCTACAAGCATGCTTGGTGTGAGGGATTGTTTTTGAGTCAATGAGTTAATGCAATCAGCTGGTTTTCCTTAGAAAACCAATATGACTGCATGTTCTGATTGATTTGTCTCTGCAAACTGCCATGAGATGACCTGGTTAGAATTGGAGCTATATAAATAAACTGAATTGAATGAAGGCATCATGAATTAATTTGACTATCACAAATCAAGTCATTAACTAACAGACTTTTTGAAGAAAGATATGTTATGTTAAATAAAGCATCATTTAATATTTTTTAACGTTTTCACTAA